TCCAGGTTGTGATCGAGAAATAAGAACTGGTAAAACTCGAGATCTTAATAAACACATGAATTTAAATGGAAACCTTCATAAAGGACAATGCCAACCAGCTTTGCTTATAATGCAAAATGTAGGAAATGTTACCCCAGAGCAAAATACACCCCAAACTGAAAATGTTACTTCAGAGCAAAATTCGCATCAACTCCTGAAAGTGATCTCATATCGTTCAATGAAAACCCACCAACACTTCAGCCGAGAGAGACAAGTGCGCTGGCAGTCGACCTTTTAACTGATGATGTTCCAAATACAGAAGCAAGATCAAGTTCTAATACTCAAGAAGAACAAAAAAAAAAATCAATTTTAATGATAGATAAATTAATAAAATAGTTATCAAAGCCGGAAATAAAAAACAATAAAAAAATTAGATCAAAGTATATACCTAAAAACAATAAAGAATGGTATGATTTAATGGAAATAGATAATGAAAAAGATAGCGAACCAAGTGATTCAGAATATGATACTGCTGAAGAAGAACCAGATATTCATTTCGAAAAAATCAAGGATCCATACATTAATAGAATAGCAGAAGCCAGAAAATTTAATGAAGGTGAGATATGTGATTATTATGCATTTGTACTAAAAGGATACTATGCCGAGGGTAAGCCATTAGCTTTTTTCAAATCAATCGAAGAAAAAATTGCAGATATTTATAAAAAAGAATTGGTTCTTAAGGGTGGATTAAAGGTAAGAATTGTGTTAATAGCATATATGAAAAAAATTCAACCAGAAATATCAGAACCCAAATATAAAACTTTTCTATTTAAGTATGAAACTATAGAAATTATTAGAGAAGATCAAATCAATGCAACTATAGAAAAAAGATATAATGAAATTATAGATCAAATAGAAGGCGAGGCATTACAAGAATCGGGATTGTCTTTTGTTTGGGCAGAAGAAGTATTTCTTGAAATAAGCGTATTCAGACCATTACGAGGTAGTAGTTGGCTATCTTTACCAGAAGATTTAGATAAGCCACAGCTCGGTTTAATTAATCTGCAAAATTTCAAAGACAATGAATGCTTTAGAGATTGTGTTAATATATACCATGCAAGAGAAGATGCACTAAAAGCAGGACAAAAATCTACACATCTTGAATATGTAAGCAAGATTAGACGATATGGTAATATAGCTAATTTTGAAGGTATAAATTTTCTAGCAACACTACATGATGTTGATAAATTCAAGGAAAATAACCCAAACTATGCTATAAATATATTTAGGTTAGTGTATAAAGAAGTGTTCGGAAAAATAAAAGTAGATATAGACCCATTACATATCTCTAAAAGAAATTATCAAGTCGAACATATATTAGATTTATTATATTTAACAGAAGGTGAAGAGAATTTAAATGACCGAAAAAATACAAATGATATACCAGAAGGATTAAAAACGCATTACGTATTTATAACAGATTTTACTCGATTAATGCGTAAGTAGAATAACCATCATGGAAAAAAATACTTTTGCCAAAAATGCTTACGATTTTCTTATAGTCGACTAGATTTATTAGAAAAGCATATTCCAACATGTCCAGGACCAAGTAAAGCACCATAACAATTAATCCTTCCTGAAAAGGGTAAAAACTATGCGAAATCCAAGTATTTCAAAAACATGCTAAAGAAACTTTATTTAATTACTATGGATCTTGAAGCAGAAGAAATCGAAGTAGAAAAAAAAGATAATGAAGAAAATACTATAAAATTAGCAGTGCAAAAAGCAATTTCATATGGATATACAATATATTGTTCAGATGAGACTACACAAAAACTAGTAATTAATCGAGAATCAGAAAATATAATAAAAGACTTAATAGAAAACCTTCAAGAAAATCTAGAAGTTATTTTAGATAAGCTTCGTGAAATAGTTCCATGTGAAAAAATGATACCTGAATTATGGCGAAAATATCAAACTGCAAACAAATGTTGGATATGTGAAGAAAAATTACATGAAGCTAGATATAATAAAATTCGTGTATTTGATGCTGAAACCAAAAAATATTTGGGTGCTTCACATAGAAAATGTCATGGAAAAAAATCAATGATTCAAGGTAAGTTAGATGATGAGCAAAAAGAAAAACATAAATCTTGTAAGGTATATATGTATTGCAAAACGCAATTACCAGATAAGGAAAAAAACAGAGTGATAAATCATGATCATATTACAGGAAAGTTTAGAGGTCCTGCTCATAGTAGATGTAATATAAAATTACGAATCAATCCAGAAACAATAAAAATTCTGGTATTATTCTGTAATAGAAGTAGCTACGATTTTTATCATCTAATGCAAGAAATAGCAAAAGTGACAGATGAAAAAATAGTGCCTATAGCAAATAATTCTGAGCA